AAGAATTCTAAATTGCTAAGAATTCTAGAAATATGGGGAGGGCTGTGCTTTCTTCGGTTGTTGATGTTAGGATGTAAGGCATAGCCCAGAAACACAGAATCTTGGTGCTTCAAAATGAACTAAAGGTAAAAAACATTTAGTTTTCCTTTTTTACAGGTCGTCAGATTGTACGCGGTTTAATAAAATATGCTGAACAAAAATGAACATTTCAGCAGACACTGTAAAGTGGAAATTCCTTAAACATCTTCAGTGAGTTCTACTCTACTTTATGTCATAGTCTGAAGGAGTATTATCAAATTGGGGTGACAAGCAACACAGAATCATCTTGTTCAATCACTGCCAAAAGCAAAAGGCTTTAAAAATGCCTTTCCCTATCCCTACAATGGTTACAATCAGATGACATGGGTGACCAGACCAGGCCATGACCATCAAGGAATATGATGTCAAGGAATAGGTTTCCAAGAATACTAGCTTCAGATTTTCTGCTCAGAACATTTAGCACAATGTTGGCCATGTGTGGTCGGTCACCAGCTTGTTGAAACCGCGAGTTGCTCATGTCGGCATCATATCCTGTGAGAAATGGAACAGATCCAACCCTTAAAAGCCCAACATAAACATCAGTATTAACTGTGGAATCAACTGATGGGCCAAAAATGCCTGCACTGGACAAAGACCACCAAACTGTGTGGACAGCATTTCACACACACAATTCCTGCCATCATACTGTTTTTTTTTTCCAAATGATCGCCTCTTTACTCTTATCATATCATATGACACCATTTTCAAATACCAGATGTTGAGTTGGGTTCAGACAAGAGAGGCAAATGTGCAAAGCTGTTATTCCTCATCCTAATTTTAGCTTTGTGGAAATATCTCTTTTTAGCTTCATATGCCATAAAGTTCTACAATATGTTTATAGATGCTAGGTGATTACAATGCTAGATGGATACCTAAATTCTATAAACTACAAACAAATTGAAAGATTATTTGAAAAAAAAGGATGATTTTTGTTTCATACTTAAACAGAAATGGTACTCTAAGTTGGATTTAGCACCTGAGGCATTTACTGACATACTGTAGTCAACCATCACTGAGTACAATACCATCTTGCCCAACACTCCCCTCTGATGGTATGAATTATTCATGACCACAGTCAACAGCAATCCTTGAGAAATTCTATACATTGTGAAGAAGTCTTGGTTTTATTGAGTCAAGACTGGAATCGTGGGAAAGGTGGTCTAACCCAACCGTAAATGGAAATTCTCTTAAGGTCTTTATTATACAGTTTTGCTCATACCTTAGTCTCATAACAGTCATCTGTTGAGTCATCCTCGCTTGTTTCAGCTTGAAATAAATGACATTACGTGAAAAAGTGCTTTTATAGACACTATATGCTTTGTTATGCTAACTAGTTATATTTATTGTATTGATGTCCTAAAGTTATTTCTATACAGTTAACTTATTGTAATAATAATTCTAAGTGCAAGTAGAGAGAAACAAAAATCCTTAATTCTGAAGGTTGACCACAGGCAGGATGGCCAGGAAACAATAAAATAATTACCATTACTTAAGAATTATAGGCTGGAGCAAAGCAATTTTTTTTATCTATTGGCTTAATTTGTATCACAAAGGTATTAAGTTAGCAGATAAAATGATGCAGAAAAAAAATGGAAGGCTCGTGTCTAAATGTTTTCATCAAGTATTTTTGGCTTTATTCATAAGAAAGATATTGTGTCTAACAGGTGGGTTTTATTTATAAATATAACAGTAAAAACCACAAAAGATCGACTATTACTTATGACGAGAAATAACAATACTAAGAAAAACAGAGGCAGAGGACTTTGTCTAGCTATGCCTCTCCCTTCAACGCAAGATGGTCAGCGTCTGATGTGTTGGTCAGGGATGGTCAAAATCAATGTTCCTATTTGGAGCCCAACACAAAGACCACGGTCTGTCTTGGAAACAGACTTCCTATTGATGGATAGTTTCACAGGACCCCCAACAGCCCCAAACAGACCTGGAGACCTGCACACTGAAAAGCTAAGCACAGGACCTGAGTGATCCATCTGTGTGACTCCCATTGTTGACTGGTCCATACTGGCTAAGTGGTACAAAACGTTAAATGGCAGTTTCACAATCCATTTTGGTACAATCATATACCTCCCAACGTACAAATTTACAAATCAGAGAATCGCAACAGATTTTCATATAAAGCGTGACACAAAGAAAATAAATAACATTGGAAAGATGTTGTCCGTGATGAGCTCCCTGAGCATTCGCACAATCCTGAAAGGAGCAATGAGGATGTGACCTGAAAGACCACTGGATAAACTACTGTGGGAAGTTCTGCTACCGTTTCTTTGTAATTCCAGCCAGGGTCAGTTTGCTGCTGATGTCTCCTGGAGGAGGCGTTGGTTTCACAGAAGTGATATCACTGTCACCCCAGCACTGAAAAAGCAACCTTTATGGATCAACTTGCAGGAAGGAAAAGTAATCTCGCTCAAAGACTTTGTTAATGTACTGCGGATCAATGTGGTGTAGGGCTTACAAGAAACGTTAAATTTTGTCTCCAGTTATACATCTAGCTGCACGTTAACAAAACTGACAAAATTAAGAGAGTTAACCCAGTTGAACAGGTTTTCTTACAGTTTTTAATCTGACTCAGTTTTGGCATGTAATTACTCAGCTCTCCAATATACAACATAGGCGGCCAAAAGTCTCAGAAAACAAAAGTTGCAGATAGGAGCAAATTATCACTCATCCTAAAGTTCCCTTGGGACCCAAAATCCAGCACTGAATGTTAAAACAGTCTGAGTAGTGTGGGAATGCTAACCCTATTGACCCTCAATTTATACCACTTTTTAAAACATTTTTGTGTTAAAGAAGATTTTGTCCAACATCATCACACTTCCACTTTCCTTCAGGTCATCATGAACAATACAACAGTCAAGGGGACTGCGACATCTCCGACTTCTGGCAGGTCAGACTGGAATTTATTGGAGAACAAAACACACCACAACATCCTTTTTATTTCCACCTCGGTTGTCTGCTGTCCCACAGAAGATAATTTTGTATTTGAAAAGCCAGCATGTTACCCCAAATGCTATGCAGATCATTTTCAAGCAGATTCTGTTGATATGTTCAAGCCATCTGTGGGTCACTGCATCCTGGAATGTTTGGTTGCCTCTACAGTCTGATGTGCAGTGTGCCATTAATGCAGTGTTAACCCTTAGACTGCCAAGACATAGTTTACAGGCAGCTAGTGCTTTTCCATAGTCCACTGACTGTTAAACCAGAACCTCTAACTTTCTGGGCAACGTCTCTCACCCAAAGGCTGCCTTCAATCACACCAACAGCAATCAGGTGATCTCCATTATTCAATTGGAGCATAATCATATCTTTCCCTGTTCTTGTACAAATTAAAAATATGTATTTTTGATTGGTTATTTAGAGGCACAAGGTGATTGGTTGAAATTGCATGACTTTTAGTTCAGTTTACCATCATATGGAACAATAGTACTGAAACAATCAATAAACACATTTGTTCACTAATTTAAATGTAAATAGCATTATGGATGTACCAAATGAGGTACTCATGTAAAACATAAATTGTTGTGTTTCCATTGTGAATTGGTAAAGAAAGTACCGAGAACAACATGTTACGGATCCAAAGTAGACCTCCCAGCTGTAATAATTGTGCTGGACATTGACTAAAAGTGAATAATGCCACAATCATACTGTATATATGCTGATACCTTTGCATAGTTCTGTAGTATTATTTATGTAACACAACCACTGTATTGAAAATCCCAAGAAGTGTTTTCACATCTTGCTTGCATACAGTACATGATATAATAACAGTCGCAACAATTTGCTTTCTTGACATATAATTAAAATCTGATCTGCCTTGTTTTAATGCCCACAATCCAGGTTAAACTAGCTAGGAATCTGAATCAATTTCCTATCACAATAAACAAGCATCAAATAAAGATCAAATTTACAATCTGAAACTTTCTTGTTATTCAGAACGTCTGTGTAGAGTTTACCTTTCCCAGTCTCTTCTAGTTGTTTTTGGACCCTGCTCTCCCATTGTTAAATCTAAACACTATGAGCTGTGTTAACAATGGATTTAGAAAAACTAACTGGACTGCCATCCTATCCTGAAAGAAAGCAGGTCTTTACTCTTAATCTCACCCGCACTCTATGCTTCTGCAATAGTCTCTGGCTAGCTGTGACCCTCATCATGACAAGAGATTTTCGGCTAATAGATGGGTGTTTTGGGCATAGATTACACTGTCTGAATAGTCTTCCATGGATTAGCTGGAAAAAAAGTACAGAAACTTCAAGAAGTACTTGAAGTTCACAAACTAAACATACTATCTGGTGATTTTATCTAAAAGAACAACATACCAATTAATTGACACTGCTCAGGTAAAAAAAAATCTTCCAACTGCCTTTTCAGACTGGAATTCGAACCCTTAAGCCTCATTGCTATGGCTGTACTAATGCTGATGCATTTTGTAGACTCCTGCAATTCTACAGGGATGTTGCTCCCTTATTGACAGTGTTTGCAGATTGCAAATCTAACGAAACAACCTCCTTTCTTCTGAGAACTTTAATATTTTTGCTTCCGCCTCTTCCTGCCATGAGGGCCTGCCTTCCTCTAGGTCATGGTATTCTTCTGTCATCAGGCCTTATGTACTCTGGCCTCTCCAGTAAAACAGAAGAATGGCTTCCGGGGCAAACAAGCCACTTCGAAACGAATAGTATTTATGTTTCTATGGGACAATACAGCTGTTCTCTTTTGCTTTTCCTTTTTGTAGAAGCCTGATAAATTAAAATAGAGTCTGATGGAGACTTTGTAAACTGGAGATTTGTCATTTCATCGAATTCGTCAGCCACACCTGCCATTCCATTTCCTCAGCCTGTTGTTTATTTTTATCTGACGTTTTTTGGTCCAAAATGCAATATGTTTATAATACATTGAATATTCATTGCAGGAGCTGACCTCGTGTGGTGGAAAGCTGAGAAGCAGCCAAGTGACCAACCAGTCAAGCAGTTGGAAGAAAGGAATCAATGACTGATGAAAACACTCCCTGCAACTTTTGATATTTCATTTAGGCAAGGAACCAGCGAGACTGTGGTCTACAAATTGCTCTGTAGAAACTGAAACAATGTACGCTTTGTGCCCCTTTTGAAATTTAACAATGATGATTGTAATAATAGAGTGTCTGTGCATTAATAGAAGCTTGGGAGGGGAAGGCCAGTGACCTCATGCAAATTGGTAACTTGTGTTTGTTTTAAGTAGTGGCTGGAGGTCCGTGGGGAAGGAAGAGTGAGGAGGAGACTGAATGTCTGATAAAATGAGGATTGAACTTGTTCTCTGGTTAAAAGGAGAATGTGGTTTATACGCATTATTCATTAAAATCAAGTCTTCATTTGGATGTCTTTATTCCTCTGTCATTCTAGCTACAGATCTAATTTCTTCTTTCAGTGAGTGAGAAACATATTCTGTACTATTGTTTTGCACAATTTGAATCCTGTGATATCCAGTAACGCATGACCATATTCTTTGAATTTAGTAATTAAAGTATTCCTTTCCATTCTTAACAGTAAAATTAATTTTAATTATTTTCACCACAGTAGTGTCAGGGTATCCACTAAGAGATTTTCCTCTCAGGATTTGTGAATAGCTAGATTTCAGGATCTCATGCTCTTAATGAGCTTCAGTGTAGTAATGAACAAGCCAGATTTTTGTTTCTGTGTAGGACTGGTGCTAAGTCCAAAGAAGATATCTACATGCAATACACTAAAGACTCTAAAATGGTATTTCTCCATTTCAGCTGTAATATTTATCTCCATTGTTTATTTGAGAACTTTTAAGATCAGTAACCTTTTCAGTCTGAAAGGCAAAAGTGAATGGTATTAATGATAACATGGTTTACCAGATATTTTTGCCTCTGATGAGACTAGAATATTTTATGTAAAGTAAACGATCAATGGAAGATACCCTGACTATACTTTTTTAGTATTTAAGAAGATTTATATTCAGAAGCCCAACGACACCTCAAGGCTTTTGATTCTAATTCTAATGTTCAATGAACATTACACTTTCACAAATAGCAATTCAGTGTTAAGGCATTAGTATACTTTCTGTACGAGAATCACATAAGTTCCAAAAGTCTTCCAGAAACAAGTTGATTTTATGAAATCTGAGTATAAAAGAACAATGATACATTTTGCAGATACAAGCCACATTACATTAATAAAAATGTGGTTAAAAAAAACAGCCATATTTGTTTGTTAAGCCTGCTCTGTCTCCGTCTTCCCTTCTGAATTGTATTAAAAAAACTTTGACCGGGGCTGAGTTTCAGCCGGGCTTCTTAATGAACATGTGGCTTTAATAATAATATGACTACTTTATTAGACAGATGGCACCAAGCCAGTAATTTAGTGTTATGGGGGGCAACAAATTAGTATAATGCTATATCCCATGGTAGGACTCTTTATCAGAAGGCCTCAAACAAAAAAAAAAAGCTCAGAAAAAAGCATTACCAGCAACACGTTCTCCTCTGCAGACCAGGAAGAAAACTGCACACTGTAGACAGTGGCAGAGAAATCTGTGGGAAACCTGAGCCTTGTAAAACAGGACGAAAGTGAAGTCAGGCCAAGAGAAGTATCCTAATGTTTTTGCAGTGGCTGTCCAAATGTTTAATAAACTTGCCAATGGTTCTAAGATCTATCTCTGCATTTACTTAGTGGGCAATATTCATTTTTTTTTAGCATGGGCTGTTTCAAGGGGAGACTTCATAATGTAGTTCCTTCAGGAGTGTGTTTTTCAAGTTCTGAATGAAAGCTGGCCTCCAAGCAGGGCACGGGAACTTTTGCCCATTGCTCATTGCTCTCTCTTCAAATGTCCCAAGGAATTTTCACAAGGAAATACAGGTCAATAAAGATGCCCCCCAAGATTTTTGGTGGGGCAATATTAACAAATACAAACAATTAAATAAACAGAATTCCAAACTTTACTGCCTGTTGCTGTCACGAATTCCAGCATCAGTTCACCAGGGTAACAAAGGAGCTGCAAAATAAGTATCAGGATGGCCCGGTGGCTTGTCTTGTCTTGTCTGGGGACAGATGTGACTCAGTTGCCCCTAAAATCAGTTTAGTGGTCTCGACCAGGCAGGCGCAGTGAATACACTAGTACAGTTGTCCCCCTTCCATTTCAAAATGGAGTCACTAACCAGTGGGAGTGACTGGTTACAAGGCAGAAAGGACAGAGCTTTTAAACAACTGCCATCTGCGAGCGGGCAAGGAATGTTGACAAGGAGTTGGTAAGGTGGTAGTGTGGTGCCCCATCTCCACCTCTGCTTCACGGAGACTTAACAAGACTCTATTTCTTCTTTCTTGCTCGGGCAATGGAAATATCCCATGGTAGTACACTGCTGAGCTCCGTGTTGTTTGAATGTGTGTGTATCCCCCCGAAAGCTGGCTTCTGCCCCTCCCCTGGACTGATCGCACCCCACTCTCCCTCTTCAAGAGGGCGTTAAAAAGAAATAAAACAACTCTTTTTAGATCTACGTTTTCTAACAGCCTGGCAGGGGTTCGGTCTCACAGTGCACCCCCTACCCCCCCATCTGTTATTCAGGAGATACGAAAAAGGATTCTTTCTTCTGCATATTTGCTTTGGTGTTTCTTTTAAAACCAAGACCTGTGGTTAGGTTGCAAGTGAGCCGCTCTCTGTCCCCTCTGTTGTTTTCTCTTGCCTTCTCTTGCTTCAGTAACTTAACTAGCGTTGTTACCAGCTTCCGTTGCTATGGCTCTGTTTCGCTGTATTTTATTGCTGCTGGTCTCTCAGCCAGCGAAAACGAAGTGCACGGCAACGTTCGTTGTCTGTTCTCTAAAGGCGAGCTCTTCGGTGCTGTCTGCCTAACCAGTGGTGCCATCTTTATTTCCTTCCTGGTGGTTTCCTTTTCGGGGTTCTTTGTGGTTCGGAAACGACAGCAGAGAACAAGGCAGAGAAGAGCAAAATGGAGAAGCAGGCTTTCAGCGTGCTGGGTTCGTTTTCCTGCAGCCGCCCCATCACCTGTTCTGCCTGTCTGCTGCCTTGCAGTCGCAACAATGTTTGAATGCCCACACCCACACTCTCTGTGCACCTGTATTGCTGTGCATTTCATGCTTCCTGCGCTTGAATTTGTTTTGTATTCCAACCTTCTGCACCATCAGTGCCTTCTGTGCACCAATCATGCTACTAGTGCCACATGCCTTGCACTTTTTATATATGCTTTGCACTCTGTGAGCTCCTACTGCTGTGGGCCCAATGCATACCATGTACACCATGTACACCTGCGCCTCCAGGAAATAGAAGCTGAAGGCAAATAAACTAGAAGAAAGCAGGGGAAGTAAAATGTGACATTCTATATTTCTAATATATCCCAATATGGACAGACCATTTAGATGCTTTTAGATGTCTTTAGGGGTCCAGAAATATAGTTGGAATAATAGCCTGTGATACACAGTACCATTCCCAGGTTTCACGGCTATATTGATGGAGGCAAGAAATTGCTTGTTCAGTGAGGCCAACTACTCTTGTAGCTCATGCTTCGGTCCTGATTTTGGAGATCTTTGACAGCACCGATGTGTTCTGTCAGGAGCGCTTTGACTGGCCCATGGAGCAAGTTGTCGAAGGGGTCGGACACTCTCTCTCGTCAGCCCACTCTGTATGAGGCCTCCTCAGGGACAAGGTCACCGCTGTGTTCAGGGCTACGCTCTTCGTTGACACACTTATCTTCTGATCTGAGTCCAGTGAAGGGGTTTAATGTCCTCACTCCTATCTAAAGGACAAACGCAGTGGGATATGCTGTATTTCCCGATTTCCCCCACCAGCCCTGCAGCTCTTGTGGTGTTGCTGTCCCTGCCAGACCTTTTTAAGGACTGTGCATGTCCTAAGAAGGAGTGTTGGGTGACAGAGACCTTCACAAAGAGGACTTCACTACTGGTGCACAGTCTGCTAGGACATTAAACTCCTTGTGTGACTATGATTTCAGAACCACCACATATCCTCCAACTCCCTGATTGTGTGGAGCTGTGTTTTGTACCCAATACCATTTCAGAAGTGACAAAAGCTGCCAGAATGACAGACAGGAGCCTCGTTTTCTTCAGATCAGGGATGTCAGAAGTCATTCCTGATGGGCCTAGTGTCTTCTGGCCTTTCGTCACCATTGTTTTTGATCCTATAATTTCATTAGATAAGGACATTTTCTGTTTAATAGGTGCGAAACATTTACTGATCTTGAGTGTCTCAAAAGATTAAACCACATCAACAGGAAAAAGATTTGGAATTAAAAATAATTTTAATTTTTTAAATCATAATCATTTTATTTTCATTTTATTTTATTTTTTTACTTTTAGGCCAGGAAACTGTTCACTCATGCCAATTTTAGCCTTGACTAATGTTTTGCAAATGGATGGATGAAAAAGTGTTTGTTAACAGTGAAAAAAAAAACAAGACATCAGAACTCTTCCTTATATATTTGTCACTCCTTACTCTTTAATAATATATATTAAAACTTTTATTTGCTTTAGTCAATGGAATTACACTGTAAGAGATAAATGTATATTCTATTAATATGACCTGCAATTATGTTTTGGCTGTATGAAAATTGCTACATAACTCTATCCCTAATGGAGGATTGAGCATTTTAACTTGTTTCTCTTCTGTTTCAAAGAAAAAACTAAAATGTACCATACAGTTCTAAATGTGTCAAAGAAACACAGCCTCCTTGAAATAGATCAGTTAGGATTTTTTTGCCTTTATGCCTCTTCTTTTTCAATTCATGTATCATGAGACTAATTTCTACAAGTAACCAAGATAACTCTTAGACAAATCAAAATTGACTTACAGGATTTCAGGATTTCATTTCTTTCTTCTGATATGATCAATACATTAGTATATACTACAAATACCAACTTTAATGTAAACATATGTGTGAATATGTGCCGAACTAAGTATAAAGCAACATTATGGAATGGGCTGAAGGCCCAGCAAGAACAAGGAAATCTTAAAAGTATTTACAAAATGTTTTGTGTACCTATTCATGGATGTCACATGTGCCCACATTGATTATAATCACTTTAAATATGTTACATTTCATCCTTGTAATCCTCATCCTCTACATTAACATTAATACTTAACTAACAAACTGCCACATTTAACGAATTAAATGCAAGTAATCTTATAAAAAGCAGCATAATTCAATGGAAAAATGGCTATCCTTTCTGGATAAATAGAAATTAGAATATATTTCTACCTGAATATACAGTACCTATATTCTGCCAGTGCCCAAAACCCTGGATTTACAGAGCATATGGAGATGGAATGGTGACCTTAAAAGCAAA